AGAATGGACTCTCTTCACAGGACTACGCGACATGCGGTGAGGTGGATGCCTAAAACTCCTTGGCTGGAGAATACTGAACATCCTACGTTTCCCGTCTGTAAATTTAGGCAGTGGAGCCTGTTTGACTGATAGAGGACTGAAACTATCGTAAAAGCTTGCTGAAGTTGATCCCCGCAAGGTGGAAGGATTAAACCCTATGAAACTAAATGCATTTCGCACTTCCTAAGTTCAGAAGTGCGATTATGGTCCCTAATGACCTATCTTAGGATTATTTCCCAGAAAGTCTATCGACCTAGCCAGTTATGATGAGATGAGATTCACTCCTTAACATTCTTACTGCGCGATCAGAATGTGACAATCAAAACAACAAAGACCATGCAGCGATTCCTCATTAGCCAAATAAATTTACTTAAGTGAACCTTATAGCATACAAATTGCCAAAACTTTCACGCAGCAATTGAAAAAATACAAAACAACAGGAACAGCAGTGAGAACGTGAAACCCTATAACGCTGAACAGTGTCTTATTAAAGTTGGCAAAGACGACTGGTGATAACGAACCGAAAAAAGCGAGGGATGATGGCATTCATCACTAAAGTATAAGAGTATAAATTTTCCAACGGTTGTAAACTTTTCCTCCTCATACTTTCGCCAGATACAAGTAACAGTAACGCACTTTTATGACCTAATTATACAGTAGCGCATGCGGCTGAAGTCGACCAGCAACACCTCAACCTTTACGCCACGTAGTGCTGACCATTATAATACGACCTATCATCTGCGCACATTCATCCATTTCATTTATGTTCGAAGATCACCAAGTTTAAGATCGGCAGTTTCAGTGTCAGTAACGCCTGACAATATTCCAACTGTTCTGTTTTGGGAGGATCTGCGATGCTGTGAAATATATTCCCTATCCAGCAGAGAGCCTCGATGTGCTTGTGAAATGTCACTGATCTGCGTCATTTAGCGAATGTCCTTGAATCACTTGAGTTGGGACTTCTAAATCACAAATTAAAGAAGAAAACAAGAGTACAGCCGTGTGTAGCGCCCGTCTCCCATTCACCTGCGTGGCAACCAGCCTTATTTGATGACCCTGTGGTACGGCGCTGGTCTGTGTTTCGATTTCTAAATCATCTATCAGAAGGACCTTATTTATAAAGGCAGTATCTACAGCTATAGGATAAGCATCAGTTTTATTTGCCGCGTAATAGGATTCATTAATCTGCTTCGACAATATAATATGCGAATGATCGACCGGCATTCCATACGAAGTCGATTCGAACACGTGATTCCAAAGTTTCCAGAGGTAACCGAGGTTCAAACTCTGAATAAGAGCGTAAGGCCAGCGATTTTCCTCTGACGTCTTAATTCAACCGCTTGCGTCCACGCTCTTTTTTCGATAATGACTGATAACTCACGATTATAAGTGAGCAAACAAATAAAAATCGACATAATGCTTCGCTCAAAACTTAGTTTTGACACTTTTGCGACGACTAAAGGCTTGCGAGAGCAACATACGATTTGTAATTTCAATCCTCTCATTGACCTTTTATCTCGCTTTCCTACACACAAAATACTCCTTTCCTACAATAACAGAAGTTTAAGTTACTTGAATTTCTGCATTATTCGCTGCAAGGTTCCACTAACGAAAAAATGTATTATGAAAATGTGTAGAAATGCAAAATCATTCAACGCAATCATTCACGTACCAGCGGCGTCACATTTGGCTGCCATCATTTGTAATGTAAACTGGAGGCCAATTAAAGGCACTGGTAGCAAAATGAGAGCATATGTAACTTCCAGACTTTTTATTTCATGACTAATTTCTATTCCGCTGCACTTTTTCCTCGGCTGCGTCAGCCCTTGCAGTTTACATAAAGTGACTAGACAGCTTGTCACAGGGGCCGTATACTCCATACTCTGGCAGGAAAAAATTGACACCCTACCTCCAAGTCCACCCAACATATTTAAACCGATTAAACGAATGTCGCTCTCATAAGTCTAATTTCACTGCCTGAAAGTGGTAGAAACTTGACTACGGATTCTCAAGACGAAGTCCGACTGAACTCTAGTCACTGGCAGATTCAACAATGAAGTGAAAGTTTGCGAAGTATAACCCGCCAAGTGGAACGTTAATTCACATGGCAATCATGGTGAGTTATGGCCAAATCTTCCAAGACGAAATTATTACCTGAATACTGAATGGTGCTGCGAAGCCTTGGAGAAACCTTCATCCATTACTAGATCGAAAAAGGTTCGAGATGACAACAAAAAGCACTCCAAGTCTTCGCACTCAACCCGTCAACGGCTGAAAATGGTGTCGGCAATACGCTAGATGCTGTACGTGCATTAAGAGAAAGGATTGA